TGGAGGGCGTGGCCGGTGTGTGTGTGCGTCTGTGCGTGTATGTTCATGTGTGTGTAATTCCACCGAGCCATTCCGCGTCTCCCCATCCATCGTACACTCCCCGAGGCGTACCTTCACCCGTGGGTCACAGATGGTCCCCCCTCCCTGCAATGATTCTTTCTGTGGTGTTATTTCTGCTCTCCCGCGCGGCGGGAGACAAAGACAGCCGGTGTCTCTTTCTCTCTCTGACTCTTGAGAGAGGCATTATTATATTACGTCAGTCTCCTGCAATTCGCTGTGCTCAGCACTTGGTCTGTGACCTCTGACCCAGGGAGTTATTATTTATTTAATTCCATGACCCGTCCATGACCTCCACATACCATGCTGAGGGCCTGGGTTGGGGTTGTTTTTAATCATTATATATATAAAAAAACAATAGAAATATGTAGAAAATTACTTGTTAATATTATTAAAGATGGAAAAAAAGGCATATATACAACAGTGGTCATCATTACCAAGCGTCACCACTATCATCATCATCATCCTGCTCTTGATCATCATCCGTCAGTCAGGATCCATTCATCATCATAGCTCATGATAATGAGGAACAAGGAAAACTGACTGAGAGTGCAGCTAAGAAAATTCCACGAGACGCGCCATGGAATGTGGCCCAAGGCTACAGACAGCAGTTACAGTAGCTGTGAAGGCATAAGCTGTCGATATTACAAACCGTGCCCAGGTTTAATCTCCAATAATATAACATCCATACAAACAAAACAACAGTAACCATCCCAAAATATTACATGTTTACACAAGTCAGTCTCAGCTATGAGAGAGTCACATTCACAGCCTGGATGACAATCTTAACAATAGATATTCAGATTTTTCATTCGCCGAGAACATATTGACCCTTGACCCACAATACAATGTGATTAAAATTCACAGGTAACCCAGAACACAATCAAGTTTATGCATATTTACGCGATCTAACCCAATAAACCTTTATAATTGATAATATTGGTCGCGAAAGCCTACGTGTTAAAGTCGATTTGTTTAACCAGGTGGGAACTCAAGAGACCAGGATGAGTCACGGTTGCAAGAGTGATGATAATGATGCTGCTTCTGCTGCTGCTGATGCTTTTACTGCTGATAATGATTATATTATCATTGATGCTGCTGGTTCTACTCCTGATGCTTTTGATGATAATGATGGAGCTACTGCTGTTGATGATGTTGCTCCTGTTACCACTTCTGCTGCTGATGATGATCGAGTCGAGTTCAATTTAAATTTAGCGAGGTTAGAACTCAGGAGATGAGTATGAGTCTCATTGACAAGAGTGACTGGGGTCACACAAATGAAATAAGCAAAACAAGTCATACCCAGGCCAGCAATGAAGCAAATAGAAATCTCACCCACAGCCCAGAGCACAATGCGATTCGCGTTCACACAACTACACAACTGGTACGATATAACCAATGCGTCTCAAATAATCTACGCATTGCTAAACAACCTGAGACTCGAGGTTGGCTTTACACCGGATTGGTGTCTCACGCTAAGGAGGGGTGCCGTGGTGGCTTGGAGATGTTAACTCCCTTGCCTGGTATGCAGGAGGTCGTTGATTGGATTACGACCCTGAAAGCTGCTGTATATTTGGAGTTTGTGTTGTCTCTATCCCTGTAATAATGCACAGTGTCTCTGTGTTATTAATGCGTGTTGAGACAATATTAGTTGTGTTGTAGTGTAAGGTAGATCTTCACTCTAGATATATCAGGTGCTTAATAACTTTAACCCACTTCAAAGACAAAACACAGTTCCCATTGTTGTCAGCAGAAGGGGCGTTATCCCATGAATGGAAGGTTGTGCCTTCAGGTCCAAGTCTGAGAGCAGATACTTATAATATTTATCAAAACAAAACTTTACGAATAATATTGGTGGCGAAAGACCTCCTACTACTACTATGTGTTAAAATGTCTTCTCTCTTTCTATGCCCATGTAAAATAAAACTAGTTTGTGTGGGGGGGAGGAGGTGTTTTAGCCTGGCGACGCTCAGCACACACCACTAGTAGTCCCCCCCTAGTGATGCCATCCCATTCCCTCTCCTGGTTTATCGCCCAACGAGCGAGTGACCGCGAGGGGGACGGCGCGCGTCACCCCGTAGCGTCACGTGATGCGTGTTCCCAGCACAACCGCGGTGGAGCTCCGCCCTCTCGGCGTTGAGCGCCACGTGGCGTGCGGTGCGGTGGGAGGGACGATGGCGTCAGAGAGAACCTTGGCTCCCCCCGCCCTCCCCCACCAGTGCACTAACCACTGCACCACCGCTCCACCCCACACTTCACACATGGCTCTCTATACACTAAAGGCAAAGATACCCCGTGTAGCCTTAACAGACTGTTGGGGAAAGTGCTGTTAGTAGCGAGTAGCAACTATGAAGGCCGGCAAAGTGACACACGAGGGGGTGGGTGGTCAGCACCACGCCCAGACACACACAAAGACACGCACAGACACAAAGACGCAGACACAGTAACAAAGACACACAGAGAAAGGCATACACACACCAACCCACTCACCCAAAAACAAAGATCCCCCGTATAGCCTTAAAATACTGTTGGGCAAGTGCTGTTAGCCACCACCTATGAAGGCCGCTACAGCTCAAGAGGAGGTGGGTGGCCAGAACCACGCCCGACCCACCTTTGTCTCCTCAGTGGCGATGTTTACACACCGCAACAGGTTCTCATTTGAGGCTGAGTCGACCTAGGGGAAAACCAAGAATGATTCAAATAATCGCTATCAATGGTGTTTGTAAACCGGTCATGGGCCTCCCCTAGGTCGACTCAGCCTCAAATTAGTGTATGGTTCAGTGTGTAAACGTTACCACTGGGAAGACAAAGGCGACCGGGCGTGGTATTGGCGACTGACCCCCTCGAGTGCCGTGCCGGCCTTTATAGGTGCTCGCTAACAGCCCTTGCCCCAACAGCATGTTAAGGCTACACGAGGGATCTGTGTCTTTGTGTGCACGAGTCTGTGCGATGTGCCCGTTTCTTTGCGCTGTTCACACTCCGTGCTCTCAGGACGCACAATTCAAATCCAGAATTCTCACTGAGTCGTCATAATCACTCCACACCCACAGTGCGGGGTAGAGCGGTTGACTAAACGAGTGGTGGATGGAGTGCAGCAGCTCCATGGAGTCGGTGCGGTAAAACGACAGCAGCCCCACCTCCCAGTGCAGGTGACACCCGACTCTCCGGGGAGGATCCCTCACTAGCACTGAGGTATCTACACCACCATGACGCACTGAGCAGCTGTTGTTATCTTTATATAAAACCCAGGATGAGTCGTTCTGTCCCAGCCAGAACTCTTTGCTACTCCCTTTCCGTGCGATCGTCTCATATGCGACTCCAACCACATAGCCCCCCGCCGCACCACCCACGTCCACCTCCCAGTAGTGCTGACCCGACGAGAAGCTCTCGGAGCACAAGGCTTGTCGCCACCAATCAAACCGTTGTGGGTGCTCGGGGCGACCCTGGGAGACAGCGGTCCGCGTCACCATCCTGAGATCCAAGGAAATCTGGAGGTTGTTCTAGGCCGAGTTTGGGTCCAGAGTCGGTGAGTGTCCATCTGCAGTAACGATAGTCACAGTACCCGGGTAACAACAGCACAACTATAACAATAGCACTCGTGCACTAACACGCACGTACACTACAATAGAGCAATTCATAATGGGCATCATTATACAACGTTGTTATGAGTAGCTATCGGTGTGATAAGATGAAACGGGCACTTTGTCAATCCACTGCTGAATGAGGGCCCCTGCTACACTGAGTGGGTCGTGAGGGATATTTGACCATACTTCACTACTCCGGTCACGGCGCATTGGCGAAGGCAGGTGGCGCAGCTGGCGAGAGCACAGAAGTACTGTACATCCGTACGTTTGTCTGCCCCGCCATTTACTGCCCTGCCACATAGCCCTGCAGCCTATAGCACCTGCTACGCACGGTGGTGGGCGCCCGTGTGAGCCCTACCCAGCCCCAACCCCTGCGGGGCTTTATTAGATGCGAGGAGGTGGGGCGCATTGTGGGTGCTCTGTGCTGTAGGGCTAAACTATTTGGGGAAAATCTCAAATTGCGATTTTTCTGACAGATATTGCGATTTAATTTGCAATAAAAAAAAATTAAGTCAAGCTTCAGTTCAAGATTCACTGTGTAATAGATTTAAAACATGTGATGGAGCATTACCACATGATACCATCAAAATATGAACTGCTGTATATATTCTAATGCAAGGATGGGAACTTAAAAATAGAGCCCGACGAAACTGAATTTCTGGTTTCGGCCGAAACCGAAACCTGACCGAAAGTCTAATAAAACCTAAAGTTGCCTTTGATTCTGAGAGCTTCAGGCTGTACCACTGAACCGTAATAATCCTCAAGGTGTCTGTATCTCGCTGCCTCAAGCACTAATAATGAATAAAAATATCAGGTTGGCGTGTGTGTGTGTCAAAGACTCATACACAGAATAGCAACAGCATCCTCACTCAATCGTACACACGTGCAGTGTTAATAGAGCTCATTTTATAGTGATTTACACTCATCTGTGTGTGATATATATTAATGTGTAAGTTTATTGATACATGTTTTAGAGCAATTTACCTTTTTGTCCGTGTAGCGATATACACGATCAACCAAGGTTAAGCATTTGGCTTACTGTCTGATAAACCTCTGAATATTAATACAGAATCCTAAAGGTGCCTTTGAGTCTGAGAGCTTCAGGTATTAACACTGAACCCTAAGGATCATCAAGGTGTTCGAGTTTGGATCTTACAGCCTCAATTACAAATTATTAATCTGAAGAATCTTAGCCTTAGTGTGTGTGTGCGCGTGTAATGAGTTCATACATGAAGAATTTCAACAGCATCCTCACTTAATCATACCCACGTGTTGTGTTAATAGAGCTCATGTTATAGTGATTTACACACATCTGTTTATGCGTGTGTATTTGAGCTACATATGAATGTTTCTACATACACAGGAGAGCCAGGAGTCTCATCTCGACTCCTCCTGCTGAGATGACCTTTGTGAGCTCCTGCTGGCTGAATGTGGGAGCAGGGTCATCTTGAGTCTCCTGAGATACCGAGTTTCTGTACCCACAACACAGGGCACATAGACCAACACAAGACACTCAGAACAATGGAGGACCAGGTCTCTCGACACATTAAACACAGGGCACACAGAACAATGCGGGGCAAGGTCTCTCCACAATAACAATAGCCGAAAATGGCCACTAAGTGGTGATGTCACCACGATGCCTGTGCTAGGCTAGGTGCCCTTTGAGGCCACGTGAAGCATCAAAGACTCGCTGGCAGAAGGGCGCAGGACAGACCTAGCAGGTGCCATAGGTGACTGACTGAGAGAACTGGCACATAACCCCACCTGTTTCCTCTACTGTGCCAACTTGCTGTGTTTTAACCACCGGCGTTCTACTCGTTGTTGTGAGTGCTGTTGTATATGAGCCTTTTTCCAAAATAAATATCAATAATAATATTTGCATATATTTTTTAGAGGCCAAAATAATGAATGAAAACACGTAAGCCAGAGCACAGCAAACACCAGATGTTGATCGTAAATAGGCCATAAATAAATAAATAGATATTAAGACTCTCTGGGGCGAAAGGAAAAGTTAGTGGTTATCTGAGAGATCTCCAGATGGACAAGCCTGTTTGATATGACACTAGGTTGGGGTCACCAGGAGGGGAGGGAGGATTCCAAGCCCAAATTTCGCCCCCTTCCGTCAGCCGCAGACAGAGTGGCGCCGGGCGAGTTTTAACACAGTTCCCTCTTATTTGCTATTAAAACGACGGTTAAAGTTCAAAATTCCACAAGAAGAATAAGCTAACATTATCAATCCTCACACCCACTCCAATTAAAAACCAGGCACGATCTACATCAATGAATCATTACCAATTTCTTCATTCGATACTAAATGGCACTTCACATTTGATTCTTTTTACAATGTTAAAAAGCACAAATCTTGGGAAACATTAACAACAATGATGATAGTGCAGTGTTGTATCCAGGGTTGTCCAGACGAGACGAGGCGAACCAGTCAAGCTGAAGCCAGGATAAAACTGTGTTCCAAAGCCTCCCGGCCGCCTTTGTCTTCCCGCAGCGCGGGAGAGCAAGAATTTAACCCCTGGCGAGGAGTGCTTGTTGTTGTAGGGAGGGGCCATCTGTGAATGGGAGACCGGGGTGGGCTTAATGGAATGACATACACGCACGGACGCACACAAATACACCGGCCACGCCCTCCACGACGCAGAGCGGAGATTTTTTTTTTTTTAACATGACCGCTAGACCATCATCTAAAAAGGCAGTTCAAACCGGGAACAGGAGCAACAAGTTGTCAGCCGGCGAGCTGCAGAGCAGGGGGCGGCGAGCGGAGGCCAAAGGGGCCCCACGATCAACTGAGGATGGAAAGGCTTGCAGGGTAGCGAGCCGCCACCGAGTGTGAGTTCATAGCCGAAAGACAGAGTACTGCTGAAAGTTTATTCTACAATGAGTCCAGCTGCATGGCGACCGACGCACCAAGCAAGAGTTTCTGCAAACCAACGGAGAGCGGGTGCCGACTTCAGTCATCCAGCAGTGGAGAAAAACCTGCTGTCAGAGAACCAGCAGGGAGCACGTACGAGCTCTCCATGCAGAGAGAGCATGTGCCGACTTGAGTCATACAGCAGTGGAGAGAACCTGCTTTCAAAGAACCAGCGGCCAAGCATGTGCCGACTTGAGTCATACAGCAGTGGAGATAACCTGCTTTCACCCAAACAGCGGCCAAGCGTGCGCCGACTTGAGTCATACAGCAGTGGAGAGAACCTGCATTCAGCAAACCAGCGGCCAAGCACGTGCGACTTGAGTCATACAGCAGTGGAGAGAACCTGCTTTCAGCGAACCAGCACGAGAGCGATCGCATATCTTCAAGGAGGGGGAGCATGCCGGCGCAGCTCATCCTGCAGTGAGTGCGTTCGGGCAGCCACAGAGAGTGCAGTCAGTGAGAGCCATCTACCGACGAAATACCACGACTGCAGCACCGTGTCAACTCGCCAACTATGTCAGTCGAACCCGAATCGACAATAAGGTGGTTCCAAAAAAGTTATCTTTTAGGTTTTAAGAAGAGTTGCCATTCCAAGGTGGTACATTAAAATATCAACTGATTCGTGAAAAACACTGCTGCCATTGACAGTTACGTGGATAAGGTAATCTAGAAGCAAATCGGTCGTACGTTTTTTTTGTTTATTTTTTTCAATGGCATAATCTTGCCATTGAATCTATTAACGCACATTTGTGCCTTTAGCAATAATAATTGTTTGATTATATTCGGTAAAATCACGTAGGTAAAAAATAACACAACAAAAATCACGACGTTTCGGCCACAACACAAGTGGCCTTCATCAGGTGAAGGGGACCGTACTCATTGCATTTCGGACCAACACCACCTGACCGGTGAATTAAAACATGTACATCTGGCCCTCAAGAGAAACGGATACTCTGACCGTACCATCCGCCAAGCTGTTTCTCCTTCCATGCAGAAACAACCACTTGATACTCCGATCAAAATTATCACATTACCATATATAGCAGGCGTTACTAAAAAGATCTCCAAAATTCTAAACAAACACAAGATCCTGGCCCGGTTCAATAGAGTACACAAAATTCGTGATCTGAACCCATCCGTGAAGGATGTCATTCCTGACTTACAGTACCCCGGGGTTTACAAATTGAGCTGCACTTGTGGTGATTGCTATATCGGGGAGACGAAACGACATGTCTCTAACCGAATTCGCGAGCACAAATCAGATTTGAAACACGGCAGAACGAATTCTTCTGCCGTAGCTGACCACTGTAACAACGCTGTTGGTGATCACGATATAGTTTTCTCCGATACCAAGGTCCTTTGTAAACCCACGGGTTTTCATCAGAGATTTATCCACGAGGCAATTCAGATTTACAAACACAGACACAATTTCAACCGAGAGGATGGTTTCAAATTAAGCAACCATTGGAAAGATGTTCAAAATCATACCAAACATTAAACTAATTTTCAATGGTACATTATATTTATCCAAGTAGTGATATACCAAACTTTCATAGAAGCTTATTTCACTTCACACCTACATTTGTAAACTCCCCCCCACCCCCCCCCCCCCCCTCCGTGCCGGTCCTCTACGTTTCACTTCAGACACCCCCCCCCCCCGTGCCGGTCCTCTTGTGCTTTACGGTCATTTTATGCTAATTCCTTTCTCAAAGCGTTTTGTTTCCTCCCACACAGCTTAATAGGACGCGACCTGGGCTGGACTGTCTTCACTCCAACGCTGTCCTCGTGACAGTACGGTCCCCTTCACCTGATGAAGGCCACTTGTGTTGTTGCCGAAACGTCGTGATTTTTGTTGTTTTATTTTTTACCTACGTGACTTTGCTGAATAGAACCAAAGAGTATGGATCCTTGCAGTCACAAAAGCTTCAAATCTAGAATTGTTTGATTGTTTTTCGTATGAATACCGTCGCATAATTTTAAGGACTTTATTCATTTTTTTCATATGTTCGTGTTACTTTGCATAAGAATTAATTGATCCGATACCCAAAGTGAAACCACGCAGTCATTGATGATACTGTGTTGATACTGTGTTGGAATTCCAAGCCGAGAGTTGCATCTTCTAGAGTTAAAGTTTAGTTAGAAATAAAATTGATTTACGCAGAAGTGTTGGGTGTTTCTTTCCTGAATTATGCATGAGAACTGATTTTGCGTTGAGAGATGAACTTGGAGACCTTACATAAACACTCTAATCCATACTCAGTAAATGTTAAAGCAAGAATAATTGTATTATTCTGATCGATAATACGAAGTTAAACAACGAAGCCGAATTGACTGGCATACTCGCATCACAGTACCAGCATAACTGCATACGATTAATTGTCCCATTCCGATTGATAACCGAACCTCGTCAACGAGGTGGGGCCTGATTATCATAAAGGTTGTAATTAACATAACCACACTCACTCCCATAAAATAAATACGATTATCACTCGAGTATCATAATTTATATGTATAATTACCCAAAATTAACATAATTTTGGATAAATTATGCAAATTTCAAATTGCATTTAATTTTAATTATTTTCATCAACTTTTCATAACCCACATATACAACAGCGCCGCTCTGCCCTCCATTGTTGTTGGACTGCCGAGTACTGTCCTTCATGATCCCCCTGCACAGAGGCCGATCTTAACACCACTGGAACCAGACACCGTTAAGGCCACTCAGCTCCATATTCTCCTGTACCACATTAGGCTATCTCTTCTCTATCCTGTGCTATGCCCGTTTGGGCATGCGGTGGCTGGGCATGCAACATACATGCCCCAGCCAACGCAGCCTTGCCTTGAGGAGCAGTTCACCGATGGGACTGTGCCCAGATCTTTCAGGGATTTGTGAGTTTCTCACATAATCCAGAATGATCCATCCTGGGTATAACCATCGCCAGAACAGCCTGAACGTTTCTAACTGGAGCAGGCATTCCATCAAAGGGGTCCACGTTTCACAAACATAGAAAATGGAGGGCATGACCGTGGCCAAGAAGACCCGAAGCTTCGTACAGAGCGAAATTGCAGTTAGATTCCACACAGGGTTATGCAGCTGAATGAAATATAAATGCCACGCGGCTGATTATGAGTGCTACCTTTGCTGTCAAACTGGAGCTAGTCATAAGCACACTGCCCAGGTATGGACACCTCTCCACTCTTTCCACAAATGCCACCACATCTACGCCTCTGAGGAAGATAGTTGTAATTACTGGCGAAACGTCATATTCAGATTGTAAATATTGTCGCTTGGCTCTCCAACATACCGGTGTGCTGTACTAGTGACGAATTGGCATGTTCTGTTTACGTGGTAACCGTTACTAGTTGGCTGTGTCGGGTGGCGGCGGGTTTTAACGACACATTTATATATTTACGCGATCTAACTCAAACAAAAACTCTATTATGGATGAATGATCGATATTTGGCACGAAAGACTACGTGTTAAACTGGAGGGAAAGTCTTGAGGCTTTCAGTGTTTCAGAATGGCGATGATTTTGGCATCCCTTATTTTGTATTTTGCATGTCCTGTGCATGACAGTTAAGAGTTTTGCCAGCCATTGTTGTCAATATAGTCCCAGGTTATTTAGGAATGTAGGACAAAGCCCATCCATATCCTTGTGCCTTGTTGGACTTTGCAGTCCTGAAGGATGCTTCCACTTCAGCTGCAGTGTACGACCTGGTTAGATCTGTTGCATGCAGTAGTTGACGCATGGAGATTGTGAGTTGTTTCCAGACAGCTTATTTGATGAGATCGTCGATTGGTGCCTTTGAGCAGGTCAGCTTGTAGGAAGGCACCGAATTTTCTGCAGTGTTTGGATGTCTGTGCTGTCTGATTTGAGACACCTAGGTTTAGGAGCTTCCAGACTTTACAGCTGGAGTGAGTGAAGTCCACGTTTGCTGTGATGTTTTCTCAACGTTTTCTTTGCCAGAGTTCCTGAACTTTGCACAGTGTGGTGCCCTTATCTTGGTCACCAGTTCTGATGAACTCCTTCAAGAATTGCTATGGTTTTGGTTTCTAACATGGCATATAGCTTTTCCGATGCCTTATCAGGATATTTTCCCTCTCGCATATGTCATAATTGTTTTCAATATATTGAAATTCCCAAGCTTTGGCTGCAGGTTATTCAATTCAGCTTTGGTTTATTGTTCATAGCCCGGGCTTCAGTTGGCTTTCAAAACGTTCCAACGCGGCCGTCGTGTTGAGGTTATGACTGGCATCAGCTGTCCACTGGTCGTGATTGCTGGCCCGTGTTGGCTCTTCTGAAAATTTCCAATAATTGTTCGTGAAACAATGAGTGGAGCTGCCCGTTATTGCTCTTGACAAGAAGCATAATTCGGGTTTTTCTTTATCCATTGGGCTGAGGGAATCGTGCCAGGTTGTTTAGGGTTACAAGAAAGGAAAGTGTCTTGTGCCGATGATCATTTCTTGACTCTCCGGCTTCATCATTTCCTGAGTACCCCTCTTGTATATGGTGGCTGTTGAAGTCACCCCACATCTATAGCCGGGTGAGTGGTTGCTGGCAGAGGTGGGGATGGCCATTTAGTATTTCAGGGACTGATATACATTCATGACCGTCGCATTACCAATTGTGACGGTTCTTGTCCATGTGCCATCACTTATGACGAAGCACTTGAGAGCAAAGTCATCGAGGCCTTGCATGATGAAGGTCAAGAGGTCATGATGTGGGTGGTAGATGGCAGCAAAAAGGGTGCTTCCATTTATTCTGCTTTTTGTGTTTAGTTTGTTGTCTTTCCCACGCACCTACGATTAGCACGGTTGGTTACATACAATGCGAAAGAAGATCAACATACATACACATTCTGTAATTTGCCATCCGTGTGCTGGCATGAACGTTCATCTCCCGTGAGGTGATGACATCAATTATATTTACCCACCTCCCACCGAGATTCTAACATAGTATAATGAGATTACTAGGCACTGCATACACAGCACAGTATACGCAAAATAGTCAACGTCCAGGTCTCTCTACAGTCTACACACAGCACGAGATACAAAGACTAATGAGGGTCCATGTCTTTCTGGTACTGACCTGAGTTCCTCGTACTTGGGATCCTGAAAGACACAATTGTGCAACTCATGTCAATAAAAAATATTTACTCCATCACCAACATCTCCGCTTCTTCTACACACTCATCTCCTCTTGTCAGGATCGATTGACATCACGATACGGAATAACAATATCTGGCTATTTAATAGGGTGTCCTGCACTGGAAATACTTTTTGGGCGTCAATATAATGTCTTGTTGTTTAAACACTTGGTTCAGTACGCACTATTTTTTTATTATTGCACTTATTTACTCGGGAGAGGCTCACTGCATCTCATGACTCTTCTTGCAGACTGGTCCTGTCGAGTGTTTTTGGAGCAGTGAGCAATGCAGATTCCAATTGAGTATTTTTTCTGGTAATTATAACATTTTAATATTTTTTCAACTATGATTTCAGGATCTGCTAAAGCAAGGGAATATTGTCTATCTGGGTAGTTCAGTTTCCTCTCACATTGACAAACACTCAAGTGGATTGGCCTAACATTCCATTTGGGTAACGTGAAGTTATGTAAGCAGAGACGTCTCGTCACCTGCAGGAAGGTGAGTGGGTCCTTCACTGCGAGGGCCGTGAGCAGCTCGTTGATCTCCTGCCCCAAGCTGCGTGTTCTGATCTCATAGAGAGTGATGTTCGCTTGGATGCGGGACAGCACGGAGCGACCCTCCTCGTCCACGTGCTCCAGCGCCTCCCTCTCCTCCTTATTCAGCTGCTGCGTCTTCCGCTCAAACTCTTGGCTGATCCGCGCTTTCATCCCACGCAGAGACTCCTACGCAGAAAGGGATGATCATGAGTTGTTGAATCACTCACATGCTACTGTATGTGTCTGGCTGTACCTATATGTGTCTGCGTGTCTATCTGTAATTCCACATGTCTGTGTCTCGATATCTAAATGTCTCTCTGTGTGTCATGAACATAACGCACTAGTTTGTTCACCAGGTTGTTGTATTTTGTATTTGGTTAACTGCGTGTGATGGGGCATAGCTGCGGAGGCTCGTGAAGGACGCTACTGGGCAGTTGGAGGCTGTCACCCTCCAGCAACAAAGGAGGGCAGTGGAGCGACACTCACAACAAGTGGAGCGCCGGGCGGCAAAATACAGCAAGTTGGCACAGTAGGGGCTACAGATGGTGCATCTCAGCCAACCCATGGCACCTGGGTGTGTCCCAAGACCTGTCAGCGAGCCTTCGACACTTCACGTGGCCTCAAAGTGCACCTGGCCTGGCACAGGTGCCGTGGTGACATCACCGTCACTTATTGGCGAATGGTGGGCATTGGTATAGTTGAAGAGTCAGATACGTGTATTGGCCAGTGCTGGCTACATGTTCAATAATATGTGAATGCATTTAGAGTAGGCTAGGTATAACCATCTTTAGAACCTTTTGCCAGTATCAAAAATAATGAAAAAAATAACAATTCTATATTTGAAGCTTTCGTGACTGCAAGGATCCATACTCTTTGGTTCTATTCGGTAAAGTCACGTAAAAAACCACAACAAAAATAACAATTTTGACCCTTTCTGTCAATAAAATAGGTGTTACAATAGTCAAACACCAAATATATATTTATCTGGTATAACACTGGTGAGACATAGCCACAAAAGAAGGCTGTCTCTGGTGTAGGACAATCAGTTTCAAAGACAACTACGTATATTATAACTAGCTGTACTATACCCGGCTTTTCCCGGGACTTGGATTCACCATCCCCCCGCCTTTGTCTCCCCAGTGGTGATGTTGACACCACAGCAGTTACTCGTTTGAGGCTGAGTCGACCTAGGGGAGGCCCAGGACCGGTTAAAATAATCGTAACCGGGTCGTCGGGTTTGTAGCGCGGCGCGCTAACCACTACACTACAATGCATTATTGAGCTCCCCACCCCCCCCAAAAAAAGTGTATTTTTATACTTTTTGCATGGTGTACAGTTTTGATAGTACCCACATGTCAAATTTCAAGTTTGTTGCATGTCGGGAAGTACGCTAGACATTTTGAACAGACACACATTCACAACTTTGCCTTTTATATATATGTAGTGCCGTGAATTCACTCGGACGACAACCGTCTCTCTTCCACCGTCACTTTTATTCCATCGTTCCGTACACAGTAATTATTTTCTTCACACTCCGCCAACTCGGACACTCCGATTCACCTCAGAATCGTCCGTACATCCTCTTCCACACACAGTGGTTCTTCCCTCTCCTCACACACAGTATCGCCACTATCTCTTCACACGCAGTGACTTCCCTTCCACACACAGTGGTTCTTCTTCTATCTCCTCACACACAGTATCCTGTCTGTCTATTCACATACAGTGACTCTATCTATCTATTCACACACAGTGACTCCATCTATCTATTCACACACAGTGACTCTCTCTGTCTCCGCTAACGCTAACGCTCCCTATCGCTATTACTGTCTCTTGGGTTCGGCTCTATCTATTCTTCCCTCACATTTCCAGCTGTCCTCTTCATATCTCTCCACCTCTGGCCAACAACTCCCCAGCAACAACTCTCCCTCCGTTCAAATAACCTCGCGTTTTATCGCCTCTCGGAATAGCCTTAATTAATTGCCACGTGGCTCACTGGCCGTTTCCCGCCAGCTCGCACCTGACCCCTTCGTCAGACTTCGAGACGCCACCACTTAACACTAACAGCCTCTCGACCAATCACAGCCCTTGTGCCACGACTCCCTTAATTACTTCGGGTTGTTTACGCCACCCGTGACTCGACCACCTGTTCGACCTCATGTGACCCGTTCTCCTTGTCTGTCTGTATGTACTGTATGTGGCCAATTCCTATGCGTATCGTTTACTCCACTACATCACCCCCTCCCCCCCCCCCCCGTGATGAAAGAACCTAGCCGTCCCCGGCTATGATATACTCGAATTGGAGTAGTGGAGTGAAGCGGACGGAACGATGACAACATATATACATAACACATTTGCAATACACAACCATTTTGTACAACCACACAACGACATGCACACAACACCTTTATACAGAATTCCCAACCTCCAAAGTCAATGTATTGTATTTCTCCTGGAATGGGTTCCCGCTGCCGGTCCATCTCCCCTGCACGGGATACCCTGCGGTAAGGGAGGGCCTCGCTCGTCCTGCCAATGAACCCTGCGCCCATCCCTGTCCCAGTGACACTCAGCTGGCGGGGCTGTCCATTGTTCACGGTCGGGACGGCCATTGGTCCGGATCTGTGGCCGTTCAATCGGCGTCAGGTCGGTAACCATGCGCAAAAAGGGCGATCCTGCAGGCACACGGGGGGCAGATCTCTGGGACACGCGCACTTGCGACCTCCCCACAGGTTCGTCGGACACATCCAATACAGGCCGCTCTCGGATGGGGGATGACGCATCATATGGTAACACAAATTTCTTCAGGCGCGACGGGTGAACAAACCATGTCCGACGACCGAATTTTATTCGCACACTCTGATCCCGTAAAACCTCCACAATATCAACGGGCCCCTGCCAGGGGCGGTGAAATTTCGGGGATGTTCCCACCGGCACCATGGGGCAGTGCAACCAGGCTTTATCTCCAACACTCCACGGCTCTCGTGGCCGCTGCCTGCCGAACAATCTTTCGTTAGCGGCTTGTCATTGTGCCGTATTGCAATGCAGCCTCTCGGGCTTCCCTTAGACGGTCGAAAGCCACCTGCATCAGAGCAGCACCGTCATAGATTTCTCCCGTTTTCGAATTCCCAATTTCTCAATAGCCGGCGCTTCCGGTTCCCGACCATACATCAGAAAAAATGGCGAGTACCCCGTTGAGGCATGCGGGGCCAATCTATACGCGGCCAGCGTCGCTGCAACATGCAGATCCCAATCATCTTGAGCGGTGTTTACTTGGTGACAAAGCATGGACGTCAGCGTCCTATGCAGCCGCTCGACCATCCCGTCAGTCTGCGGGTGGTATGGGGACGCCCGAATCTTTTTGGTCCCTAGCGAGTCACACACGTCCTTAATCAATTTCGATGAAAAATTTCTGCCTTGGTCAGTAAGCAAATGTTCCGGGGCCCTCTTATCTAATACGTATTCATTCAAGAAAGCCTAAGTGATAGACGTCGCTGACTGGTCTACTAGCGGCCATGCCATCAGCCAACGAGTTAAGTATTCCACCCTGATGAGCAAATATCTGTGCCCTCGGGGGGTGACGGGAAACGGACCCAAAATATCCAGTGCCACAATTTCGTTCACTCTCGAAACTTGAATCGATTGCAAAGGGAAACGATATGGCCGTCCCGGCGCTTTCCTCCGTGCGCATTCCTGGCACGCTTTTACATGCTGTTTCACATCGTTAAACATTCCTGGCCAGTAAAATTCACTCCCCACCGTCAACGCGGTCTTCTTCTCCCCCAGATGCAGCAATCTCTCATGTACCTCGTTAATCAGTTTCCCCCGCAACACCTTGGGGACAACAATACAAAATTTTTGTGCTTCCACATCCCAGCGAACAAGCAACCCCTCCGTTAACATCAAAAATGGGCGATCCTCCGATCCCCTTGAACGAGAGGCACGTAGCCTCATCGTGGTCAGCGAGGAATATTCCACCTACAGTTGCTTCCACTACTTCAATGACAACCCCAACAGTCCAATTTCTGCTCCAGGGACTATCCCTGGCACCCCCGAACCCGCTGCAGCGACCGTTTGCGGAACCTCCTGCAGCGGCGGGCTGCAACGTAGCGAGCCCTCTGTGCACCGACACGTCTCAGCCGGTCGCGGCAACCTCGACAAAGTATCCGCGTTTACATGGTGCGTCCCTTTCCTATGCTGTATTGTGAAAGAATACTCCTGGAAGGTCTCAATCCAGCGAGCCATTTGCCCTGATGGCTGATCCACGCTCAGCGAGTACTGTAGCGCCGCGTGATCAGTGAGGATCAAAAGTTCCCTGCCGTATAGATATGGTCGGTACTGGCGCACAAATTGGACAATCGCCAATAATTCCCTACGCATCATACAGTATTTTTGCTCCGCCGGCAATAACACCCGGCTGCCATATGCCACCACTCTCTCGACGCCATCAACCATTTGTGACAAAACCGCGCCTATGCCCGTATCACAGGCATCCGTGTCAAGTATAAACTGCTTCGTAAAATCCGGGTATCCCAACGGCGGTGCGTCCGCCAGTGCGGCCCGCAACGCTTCAAACGATTTTTGTTCAGCAATCCCCCATTGAAACTTTACACCTTTCCCGGTCAGCGTATGCAATGGTCGAGCAATCGTGGCAAAATCCTTAACGAACCGCCGATAATACGACGCAAAGCCCACAAAGCTACGCACTTCCCCTGCTGTTTTCGGCACTGGCCATGTACGCACACAACTCGTCTTTTCCGGATCAGTTGCCACTCCTGACGCACTAACGACGTGCCCCAAATACTTCACCGATGTTCTCAACAATTGGCACTTCTGTGGTTTAAATTTCAATCCAGCGTGCCGCACTCTGCCAAAAACGGCGCGCAACCGTTGCAAATGTTCATCGAAATTCTTACTGAAAACAATCACATCATCTAAATATATCAAACATGACTCCCACTGCAGGCCCGACAATACGAGTTCCATTAATCGCTGGAAGGTCGCCGGCACTGAGTGGAGTCCCATCGGGAGCACGTTAAATTGATACAATCCTTGTGGTGTCCGAAATGCCGTTTTAGGTATTGACTCTTTATCCAGGGGCAATTGCCAAAAGCCCGACAACAAATCGAGGGTCGAAAAGATTCTGGCGCCGGACAGGGCATCCAGCGAATCATCAATTCGTGGAAGCGGGTACGCTTCCGCCACCGAAACTTTATTCAATTTCCGATAGGCAACACAAAATCGCATGGTTCCGTCACGTTTTTTAACGAGGACAATAGGGGCTCCCCACGGGCTCGACGATGGGGCAATAATATCCTGCTCTAACATTTCGTCAACAGATCGCCGAATACATTCTTTCTCAAGAGGACCTACACGATGCGAATTTAACCTGATCGGGGGTGCGTTCCCTGTGTCAATACGATGCTGCAACAACGTCGTTCGACCCACGTCATATTTCCCTGAACTGAACACATCCTTAAATTCCACTAGCAACGCATGCAACCTCGACCGTTGCACAGGCGATAACTCTGGGTTTTGTTCGTAAAGATCCCTTAACCATTCCGGATCGTCCTCCTCCCTTGACAACATTTCATCCTGCCCCGTAGCTAAACATGTTTTTGTTTCTGGACCCGGTGCACCCGTTGCGTGCGCCAACGTAGTGCCCCCTTGAATAACAACCTCTTGGTGCCCCGCGTTTACAATTTGAATGAAGGGATCACAATAAGTTGGTATTATGGTCAAAGCTCCTACCACGGTGGGCATTCTCGACACAGCATTTGAGAGTGTCAACAGCACTCCCTCCTGTAGCTCATCCCAAGGCAATTCCTTCTTTAACCGTAACGGTACCAATATTTGCGATGCAGGCGGGACGCGCACGGTGCGGCTCACCACGGCCTGCACCACAGCGTTTGCCGCCGCAAATTTCGAAAGGCGTCCCCAAAAATTTCATACATTTCCCCGACGGTAATTACAAACAACCTTTTTCCACTGAAATCTTAATTGGCATCGTTTGTAAAAAATCCGTGCCCAACAAACACGGTACCGCCAAGGCCGTTGAAACCAAAACACTTCCTGTCACAATAACCTCCCCAATTTGAATTGTCGCAACCACACAGCCCATAATGCCCAAACTACCCACGTTTGCCGCTACACATGGCCCTTCCACTGGCGCTCACGATCCAGGCGACGTCGGCAGCGACCGAAAATTTTGCAACGAAATGAGAGTTGCCGACACCCCGGTATCCACAATAACCCGTACCATAACACCGTGAATACATGCCATCACATCCAACGATCCCGGCGCGGCACCCAACACACGATGTACCAACGCGCCCCACATATCCCGGCTATGCGTACTATCCGAACCCGATGAATACGGTTGAGATGACGCGGATAAGTGATGTGGATAGGGCGGCCGTGTATTGAATGCATCTCGACTCACCCGGGATCCTTGGTCTTGGGGGAACCGCCCGCCATAGTTGTTTGGCGCCCACGGAGGACCACCTCTTCGTCTCCAGCAGTCGCGGGCGAGATGACCCCTCCGCCCGCACTCGTAGCATGTCCGATGCACGCCGTCTCCATATGCCCCGGGACGACGCCGTCGGTCTCCGATCGACACTCCGGCCACCGCTGCCATCGGCGGCGCCTCGTCCACCACCACCGCCACCGTGCTCGCAGCCCCGGCAGGGGTCGTCAGCGACCGCTGCGCTACCGCCGCCGCTGGTTCGTCTCGTATATCAAGGTTGACTTGTATGTTCCTGGCGATCAGCAACGATGACACGTCGTCATCATCATCCTTGTCCGGGAGCGACAAGACGACTTTCAGTTCCTTCTCCAGCTGTAACATCTTCTCTTGCAGCAGGGAGTCCCAGCCCTCCTCGTCCATCGCCGGGTACGCAACCTGGGCGAGGGCCAGCAAGGCGCTGCGAAATGCCAGGGAGGACTCCGTGGCCTCCCGTTTCCTCTGTTGAAATCGACGTTTGGCGACCGACCGCGGCTCATAGACCTTCGTCATTGCAGGGAGTCCGTTAAAAGTCACCAAGGAGTCATTATCCAATGCCGTCGGCAGTGCTCGTAACTCGGCACTCTCCGTCCACTTCAGGGACTCGTAAGCCGCACGGAATCTTCGTATGAATGCCGTCCAATCTCACACTTTGGCCTCAAATCGTTGTACATGTAGCCGTCGTGGCGGTCCCTCCAACTGGTCGTCTTCATCGTCAGAATCTTCCAACCGCTCCGGCTGAGCGGCAACCTCCGGCGGTGAACCTGGTACGGGTAGTTGAATACGGTTCTCCGTCAAGAAGTTCTGGAATTCCTCCGACAACTTCTACATTCTGGCCTCCCACTGGGTCATGAGGACTCGCCAATCCTCTGGCGATTGCGGGCCTTCAGCACCACCCGAACCGCTGTCACCATCCGGAGTAATCCCGGCCATCTGGCCGGGCTGCAAATCGTTGTTGTCGCTGTCGCCGCCCGAGTCCACTGGCACATTTCTTTTCTTTGCCGCTTTCCCTGACATCGTGGCGTGTTCCGTACTTTTTCTGACACCAAATGTAGTGCCGTGAATTCACTCGGACGACAACCGTCTCTTTTTCCGCCGTCACTTTTATTCCATCGTTCCGTACACACAGTAATTCTCTCCGTGCTCCGCCAACTCGGACACTCCGATTTACTTCAGCATCGTCCGTGCATCCCTTTCCACACACAGTGTTTCTTCGCCTATCTCTTCACACAGTGTCTTCCCTTCCACACACAGTGGTTCGTCTTCTATCTCTTCCACACACAGTGGTTCGTCTTCTATCTCCTCACACACAGTATCGCCGCTATCTCTTCACACGCAGTGACTTCCCTTCCACACACAGTGGTTCGTCTTCTATCTCCTCACACACAGTATCGCCGCTATCTCTTCACAAGCAGTGACTTCCATCTATTCACACACAGTGACTCTATCTATCTCCGCTAACACTGACTCTCCCTATCGCTATTTACTGTCTTTGGGGTCCGGCTCTCTATCTATTCTTCCCTAACATTTCAGCTGTCTTCTTCGTATCTCTTCACCTCTTGCCAACAACTGCCCAGCAACAACTCTCCAGCAGCAACTCCACAGCAGCAACTCTCCAACAGCCACTCCCCTCCGTTCAAACCACATCGCGTTTTATCCCCTCTCGCATTAGCCTTAATTAATTGTCACGTGGCTCGCTGGCCGTTTCCCACCAGCCCACACCTGTCCCCTTCATCAGATATTCCGACGCCACTACTTAACGGTAACAGCCTCTCAACCAATCACAGCCCTCGTGCAACGACTCCCTTAATTACTTGGGTTTTTTTACGCCACTCGCGACTCGACCACCTGTTCGACCTCGTGTGACCCGTTCTCCTTGTCTGTCTGTACGTACTCTATATGGCTAATTCCTATGCGCATTATCTACTCCACTACATCGATATGTTCTGTCCTTGAATTTGATTGGTCCACACCCGAGACGGCTTTTCTTACCTTCTCACCAAGCTGCTTGGCAATGATCTTGTAGCACATTCCAGCCTTGTGTAGGTCTACAATATTGTCCCTGACATCCTTGGAGAGCTCTTTGGTCTTGGTCATGGTGGAGAGTTTGGAATCTGATTGATTGATTGCTTCTGTGGACAGGTGTCTTTTAGTACAGTTAACAAGCTGAGATTAGGAGCATTACCGATAAGAGTGTGCTTCTAATCATAGCTCGTTATCTGTATAAAAGACACCTGGGAGCCAGAAATCTTTCTGATTGAGAGGGGGTCAAATATTTTCTTCCCTCATTAAAATTCAAATAAATTTATAACATTTTTGACATGCGTTTATCTGGATTTTTTTATTGATATTCTGTCTCTCACTGTTCAAATAAACCTACCATTAAATTATAGACTGATCATTTCTTTGTCAGTGGGCAAACGTACAAAATTAGCAGGGGATCAAATACTTTTTCCCTCATTGTATACAGGCATCAGGGTCGGCATCTGGATCAAACCCACGCGCTGCTGTTTATGGACAAATCATCCTACACCCACTGCCATCTGTCTCGTGTCCTGCACACAGGCTGATTTTACCACTCATCCTCCACAGAGGTCGTCCTCTTGGGTGCCTTCTCTGCTCTGGTTGCCTTGTCTGCTCTGGCTGCCATTACATCAAACGTTTGTTAATTGGTAGTCATCTCTTCTCGTGACGAGTCCTGCCTAACGTTTAAATCAAGGAGGCGTTTTTCACCTGCGTATGCTCTCTAATCTACACGTTTCTATGTATTTTAATGTAACTCCAAGTACGCACATAGCGATGATTCATTAGCGTTCTAGTTTTTATTCCAATTTATTTAATATCGTCTGCATTTCTGATCGATGCTGCAGCCAGGTACACACACTTATTTGGAGAATAACATACTTCCGAGCACAGATATGTGTTACAAATTGTTATGGATTTAAACATTGAGCGTTTTTAATTGTTAGCAGAGAGTAGTTTAATTTCAGTGTTGATTTAATGTGTCATTGAAATTTAATCATATATTGAAAAATTCAAGTTACTGAACAGCTACTGTATAAATATTTAAACTTAAAAAATATGTAAAAATAGAAATGTCGCATTTCAAAGTTAAAGCACTGTGCATGTACAGCAAGCATTGCTAAAGGAGCCTCTGATTGAGTAACGAAAAAAGTTTCACCCTCCCAGTTCCAAGATTTATAAATGAGTGATGACATTTTAATGCTCTTGAAGAAAATAGTTTTGTACAGAACTTACTTTCAGTAAGAGGCCTCAATTCTTGATCCAAAAACAAGAGAAATTGAATATTAGTAAATTACCAAACATAAAAGTCACAGTTCTGCTGATTAAAAGTCACAGGTATTACAGACACGGTCATTTAAAAGAGTTTGCACAGTCAAGCGGGTTTGAAATTTCTATTCAGGTTGAGTGCCCCCAGTAACATAAATAGGAAGAGTGAGGGCCCTGCTTTTTGATGAGGTAGTCTAAACGTTTTTTAAGCTATGAACGAAGAGAAGTATTATCCAGTCAACTTGTAGCCCTGGAGACACAATAGTTGTGAGTAATTGCTATTACTGTTGAAGATGACATAAGTGTACTTGTAAATTCTATGTAATGACCAGTTAATTTAAAATTGAAGACTGATGGCAAACGGGTGTGAAATCATTCTCTTTCATTATCTTTGAGGATGAGTCCAAGGCGCTCTGAAGCGAGGACGATGAAGTCTGCCTCTATCATAAGCCCTTTTTATAACGCATTGGCTGTGATAATTAGCTCAGTCTTTACTGTACACTAGGTACAGTGGTGAAGTTTGGCTGGAGCGTGCTTAAGATAAGTGTACCTGTTTATTATAGCAGTTTTGTTTTTTGTCAGCAGCTAATGACTCTTGTGTTTTGTTAGTATTATACATTTTACCCTGTGATAGATCCTTCACAACTCCACTGTGGTGAAGATCGCGCCCAATAAATGTGTATAATACCGGATGATGGCCCTACGTTTTGACTGGATTTATGAGCCAAGGTTCACAGTCTAAATGGATGCGCTCAGATTATATACATCAGAGTCCGAACAGTACTTTTTAAACAATATTCCTGTTTTTCAGATACAAGTTTAGAATGGTTTTAATTATTTTAAATGGTAATTAAATTAACGCAACATGTTTCCCCCTCTGATAGGACCACTTCTTCTTATAGTTTTTCAATATCCTACATTTACATCTCTTCTTGCGCAATTTACAAGCTGAGGTTATTAATCACCACCAGTCTTGATCAATACTGAGGAGAACATGTAAACTACAGTTTTCGTTGAAACCTTCTGCTGCCAGGCCACCAAGATTATACGGCTTACCAAAAATACATAAAGTTGATACACCTCTTCGTCCCATAGTCTCTACTATCAGCTCCCCCACCTACAAACTAGCTCGTTTTTTGTCTGAAATCCTGCGTCCTTTCACTGGAAAGACCACCTCTGCGGTACAAAATTCTACTCACCTGGTATCAACAATCAAGGGTATTTCCCTGTCCCCAGACGACCTGCTTGTCAGTTTTGATGTAGTTTCCTTATTCACCAAGGTTCCTGTACCTGACACCATTGCAATCATTGAAGACTTGGTTCATCAATGACTAAACACTGAGGTACCCCCCCTGGTGAGACACTGTTTAACCAATACATACTTCACTTGGAATGGAACTTTCTACAAACAAACTGAGGGCACCCCAATGGGCTCCCCCCTTTCTCCAGTTATAGCTAACATTTTCATGGAGAAATTTGAGACTGACGCCATCCAGACTGCCACTCTGCGCCCAACCTTATGGAAGAGGTACGTGGATGACACTTTTGTCATCTGGCCACATGGCCGGCCTGCTCTAGACAAATTCTTCGACCACATCAATTCCATACACCCAGCCATCAGATTTACCATGGAAGTCGAAATAGATGGCAAGATACCTTTTTTGGATGTCCTAATTAAAAAGAGACCTGATGGTTCAATGAGCCACTCTGTCTACAGGAAAGCTACCCATACGGATGCTTATCTGAAACCGGATTCCCACCACCATCCATCACAGAAGAATTCTCTCATCAAGACTCTGTATCATAGAGCCCAATGCATATCCGACCAGGAACACATAAGCAGTGAACTCAAGCACGTACACCAAGCTCTTAGGGCTAATGGTTACTCCGACTATACAATCCGCAAAGCTATCACTCAAACCATGAAGAAGAACCCTCTTGAGGAGCCTTTCAAAACCATCACTTTACCCTACATTGCTGGGATCACAAAAAAGATCTCCAAAATCTTGAATAAACACAAGATCCAGGTCCGTTTCAACACATTACATAAAATCCGTGATCTGGTTCCGTCTGTAAAAGATGTGATTCCGGACATACAATACCCTGGTGTCTACAAACTAAGTTGCCTCTGTGGTAGTAGTTACATTGGAGAAACCAAACGCCATATCTCGGACCGCATTCGTGAACATAAAGCAGACCTTAAACACGGTAGGACCAACACCTCGGCCGTAGCAGATCATTGTTCTAATTCAGTAGGCTCACATGCCATTGACTTTTCCAAGACGGAGGTTCTTTGTAAGCCATCTGGCTTCCATGAGAGATTCGTTCATGAGGCTATCCACATATACAAACACAGAGACAATTTCAACCGAGAAGATGGATTCTATCTTAGCAATCATTGGAAAGATTTGATAAATCATTTCACTTCTTGATTGATTGTTCACGCTTACAGTGCCTTTCAGACAGCATACATAAAAACAAATTTCGTCTCCCCCCTCCTCTTTTCAAAAAATAGATGGACTAGTCCTGGCAAACTGCCATCATTGCGCGTGACGCAAACGTTATTTTTATATATATATAAATAAATATGCCGTTTTCAAAATAAATTTATGCAAACCGACACACCTGATGATGACCGTTTGAGTTATGGTCGAAACGTCGTGAGAATTTTTTATTGTTTTATATATATTTTGTTATTTTGTTGTTTCTCTTCAACGTGACTTTAC